TGACCACATCCGAACCCATCTGAAGGTGAGCCGCGCCGGCCCTGGGGCCGCCGCCTCGCCCCTCCCCCCCACCCCTGCAAAGTGGGTCCCACCTGTGTCCCCTGGTGCCTCGGGCAGGGGCGGGGTCTTGGCCCTGCTCACGGTGGGCTCCAGACACCCCGTGGCCCTGGGAATCGTCCTGGATTTTTCTCCCGTACACGCCTCTCTTTGGGGGCTGTTTGCTGGCAGGGGCTGGTGCCCCCGGTCCTCGAGTGTGCGGGCGCCCACGTTGCTGGAACATTCTGCTCACAGCGGGTTTTGGTGGGTGTGCGTGCTCGGGGTGGGTTGTTACTGGGGAAGAGGCCCCGGGGCTCCGGCCGCCGCAATCCCGGCTCGCCACAGTAGCCCAGGGCGAGCAAGGCCCGTTCTCTTCCTGTGCTGGCCGTGAGCAAGCCCGGAGCAGAGGTGTGGCCCCCGCTTCACGGCCGAGCTGGGCCGTGTGGGGTTTGCGTCAGGGGATCCCCCTGCTTTGACCTGGCTGGGGGGCCTTTGTGCCTCAGGAAGGTCCCGCGGGTGGCCCGGTGCCCTGCACTCCTCAGGGCGCCTGGTCAGCTGGGGCCACCCCTGTCTAGGGCAGGTGACCGGGTGGCTCGGGAGGCGGGGCTGGGGAGGGTGGGAGGTGGGGGCAGGTCTCAGGACGCAGCATGAGCTGGGGCGACCAGCCCCGGCGGGCAGGGCCCACCTGGAGACAGGGCCCCGGAACTGCGAGGGGGGACAGGAGGTGGCATGGGGGGCGGGAGGGAGGCCACCCCTCGGTCCCTGTGTGCGTGTCTGCCGCGGGCTTCGTGACGGGTCGCTGCCGCCCCCAGGAGCTGCTGGCCGAGTGGCAGCTGCGGCAGGGCCCCCGGAGCGCGTGCGGGCGGCTGCGGCAGGTGGCCGCGCTGGGGCTCGTGTGGCTGCTGTGCCTGGCGACCACGCTGGGCTGCACCGTCGCCGTGTACGCCTTCTCGGAGCTCATGATCCAGGTGCGAGCAGGGAGCGCTGGGCCCGGGCTCCGACCCCTGCCTGACGAGGGATGGGGCCCCTGCGCCCTCTCCCCCTGCGCGTCCCCCCGTCTTTTGATCTTTTATTTTCCTCTTTTCGGTTTCTCTTTTTTCCGACACCTGTGTCCCCACCCCCTTCCTGTGTGGGTTGAACTTGGGCACTGGGGTGGGCGTACCGTGGCGGGGAGGGAGGTGCCGCTGGGCAGTTTGGCCCCTCCTTCCACCAGCCGGCGCACCTGACGTCACCGCCACCCCCTCCTCCTGCAGACCCCCGTGTCTGCTGACCGAGAGGGGGCGCTGCTGGCCCTGCCGCTGGTGGTCTGCCTCCTCAACCTGGGGGCCCCCTACCTGTACCGCTGCCTGGCCGCCCTGGAGCATCATGACTCCCCGGTGCTGGAGGTGTACGTGGCCGTCTGCAGGTGCGTGTGCAGGCGGGGCGGGCAGAGGCTTCCTGGGGCATGACCTCTGGCCCCCGGGCAGCCCTCCCTCAGCACCCCCCCCCCCCCGTCCTCTCCAGGAACCTCATCCTCAAGATGGTCATTCTGGGGGTTCTTTGCTACCACTGGCTGGGCCGCAGGGTGGGCACCCTGAGGGACCAGGTGAGGGGGAGGCCGAGGCCCCTGGCCGGTCACAGCAAGGGGCGGCCCTGCTGCTGCTGGGGGTGGGGGTGCTGGGGTGGCCGCCATGTGGCGTCTCTGGCCGGGCTGCTGGGACAGGCGGGGTGCAGGGCACTGGGGGCACCGGGAGCTGAGGCCGGATCCCCCCCAGTGCTGGGAGAACTTTGTGGGCCAGGAGCTGTACCGGCTCATGGTGCTGGATTTCATCTTCGTGCTGCTGGACACGCTTTTCGGGGAGCTGGTGTGGAGGTGAGGCCCCTGGCCCTGCACCTGCCTCCTGGGCACCTGCCCCCTCCCTCCCCCCTGCCCAAGGGTTCAGAGCGTCCTCCCCGGCAAGGCAGGCAGGGGTCACCTGGGAAAGTGGGGCCTCCCCTCCCGGATCGGGGCCATCGATCGGCACCCTCGATGCCTCGTCTGTACCTCATCGAGCTGAGAAAAATCCCGGGCAGGATACACTCCCCCCCCTTTATTTTAGATCGAGGGGGAAGAGTTTTCAAAATGATGTATAATCTCAGTCTTGTGCAAAGGGGGAAAAAGGGAAGGAAGAAAGACAGGAAAGGGACTTTTTCAGGACGTGTCACTGAGTGCCGACATCGCGAGTGTTTTTATTCTGTTTGTGTTTTTTTCCGGGAACGTATGAATTTAATAGTGTTTTTAAAAAGGGATGTTTATGGGGCGCCTGGGTGGCTTAGTCGGTTAAGCGTCCGACTTTCGCTCAGGTCATGATCTCGCGGTTCGTGGGTTCGAGCCCCGC